CTCAGGAAAATAAACATCAATGTCATATTCCCTATTATCCACGCTTATTCAAATATCCCTAAATGTCCTTCATAGCTGTTTGTCATTCTTATGCCATATGTGATCAGTTCTGTGCTCACTGTATCATTAGTAATCATGTCTTTATTCTTTTTTTTATCTACAGTCAGCCTTTAAAAAAAACGATATTGGCATTTTGAAGCGTTCAGGCCAGTGGTTTTGCAGAAAGAGCATGAAGTTGGATTTGTCTGATCCTCTTGCGTAGGTTCAGCTCAAACACATTTTGGGGCAAGAAAACTACCCAGGTGATAATATAACCTCTGTTACCAGGCCGAACCAGGGCCGAATGCTCAGTAGTTGCCAGCCCAGAGACAGCTTCAAGGTGATTTTATGAGAAGGAACTTAATCATACAAGCCGGCCGGCAAGGACACACCGGGGATGGTTCCCAGAGCAGTGTCCCTGAACAGAGCATCGAACCCATCTTTATTAGGGAAAATCGTGCATAAACACAAGGTAGACTTTGGCATTGTGAGCGTAGGTGGGGACCTGCCAGTCCACTCGCAGTCAGGAAATGTGGCTGCGCATACAGAGTGTGTTCAAAACTGGCAGAAAGTCTCTGCCCCTGGGAGGACACTTTAGTTTTATGAAGGAAGTGCAAGAGGAAGTTACTGGGGGGTCCTTCAGGCTGCTCCATTCACCGCCTGGTCCTGTAAGACTTCCTGGGCTGTTTCTGAAAAACAGTTCTGGCGGCCATTGACGTCAGGGATTGCATGGGCATGGATAAACATCTCACTAAGCCTTGGATTTTCTGTGAGACTTTGAGCAAATTACGAGAACATTACACAAACCTTCTAAATTTCAGAGTAATCTGAGTTAACCGAGGCTGAGTTATAACCCTAAACTAGCGGTTCTCAACCTCTAGGTCGCGACCCCTTTGGCGGTCGAAAGACCCTTTCACAGGTGTCGCCTAAGACCATCCTGTGTATCAGATATTTACATTACGATTCATAACAGTAGCAACATTACAGTTATGAAGTAGCAACGAAAATAATTTTATGGTTGGGGGTCACCACATGAGGAACTGTATTTAAAGATCCAGAAGGTTGAGAACCACTGCTCTAAATGAAGGTCAATCTCTGCTAGGCCACATGTCCAGGCTTGGCTACACCTCAGAGCATCGCAGCTGTGGCATTTTTGGAGGCTGATCAGTTGGTTCAGATGGTGTCTGCCAGGTTTCTCCGTTGTCGGGTCCCCTTTCCTCTTCATGATAAGCAAACTCTGGGGTGACGTTTTAAGATGGCGAATGACCTGCTCCCTAACACCTTCCAGCGACTCGTGTGAGCATCCACTCATGATTCATGCTTGCATCAGTTCTACCTGGCGGTGGGGTTTCCACGTTCAGGTTAGAAAGACGAAGCTCAGAAAGAGGTGGGTCTCTCATGAGGCCTTCCCACTGTGACTACGCCATCATACAATCTCTTAGGTTAGATCACATTGTTTCATCTTTTATAAGCCACTCGTTCTTTGCCCTCCCTTATATTTATTTGCAAGCAGACATCTGTCTTAGGGATTACAAGTTTCTATTAATTACAAGTTTCTATTTCTCATCAGCTTCTGTTTTAGGTGGAGTTCCCTAAACGCGGAGCCTGAGGCAGGGAGGGATTCCTGTGCTGTGATCTATTGAGGGAGGCTCGGGAGGAGCGTGTGCAGGACTGAAGGATACAGGGTGGAATGGGAGGAAACCAGGCAGAGAATTGGAGCCCGCTCAAGTCTAGCCTCAGCCTGAGGACAGGGAGCTCTGAAGCGTGAATAGCACCCCAGAGTTATCCTACACCCGTAGGCAAAAAGACCACTCCTCTACACCCTGTGTCATTAGCAGTGCCGCTCCCAGGGGAGAGCATAACTTCCCAGGTATGTTCAAGAAAAGGGGGCAGCAGGGCCATGGGTGCCCGATCTGATACAGGGGGACTGGGCAGGGCACCACCAGCATTCACTCAGGTTCAGCATTTCCTTCATTAGTCCTTTCTGAAGGCTGTCCTTTAGGCTGGCTGATAAAAGCCAATTTGTTCTGTAATAACAGGCCACAAACATCAAAGAATAGCTAGCTGAATAAAGGCATTGACTTAGTCATTGGCAAAGACAAGGTCTAATTTATGGTTGCTCCTTTATGAGGCCCCATGAATCTTATTTACCAGCTCCCTGTTGAGGCCCCGGCTCTTTAGGCTGAGGTCAGTTGTCAGAACAAAGTTTTTAGCTTCTTGAAACAACTGAGGTGTCAAGGGATGTACCCTCCTAAGGAAGGAAGACTGTCAACATGTTTACTCTCAGCACACCTGGGTGTCAGGGTTGCTGTTTAGAGGTTGCAGAATTTGGTCTTGGTAAAATATCGCCAACTCGAGATGGCAGGAATAAAATGTTATTTTAATTGGGTTGTGAGTTCGCTCAATGTCATGTTACTGCCCCCCCCCCCCAAAAAAAAACCTAATTGGATATTGGATCTGAGTTCCAGTGCACATTTTGCACTTAGGTCTCAAGCAAGTGCTCCTCAGACTGGCAACATCACCCAGATCTTAGTGGAAATGCAGAATCCCAGGCCCACCCCAATTCTGCAGATTAGAATACGTATATGGGGCTGAAACCACGAATCTGTGATTTAACAAACTCCAGGTGATTCTAATGTAGGTTCAAGGGCTGGTCCAAAGCAGTGGTTGTAAACTTGGCTGCATGTCAGGATTGTCTGGGGAACTTGAAAAAATTCTGATGCTTGTATCCTACCCCATGTGTCTCATTTATTTGATCTGGGTGCAGTCTGGCCATCAAAATATTTTTAAGCTCCCCAGGCAATTTTAATAATAGGCAGCCAGGGTTGAGAATCACTGGTCTAAAGTCTCCTCTTACCTTATGTGAAAGGAATTTTAACACCAGATTCGTTTTGAAGAGTGTGTTCTTATTAGCTTCAAAGATTCACTTCAAAATACCCAGAGGCCCTGGAATGTCATATGCACAATGAGAAATTGCCCTTCTTCGCAGGTTCTCCCATCTGGAAACATGTAGCAGAGGTAAAGGGAAACACAGATTTGAGAAAAAACTAAATGGAACTCTTGACATGAGTCTTTAGAGATATAGAAAGTCAAGAAGGTGTAGGGGAGAAGTTAGGATGGGGTTCCTGGCCAGCCCACAAGCTATCCATTATGGGTTGTTACCCAAAGGAGACCCCAAAATGATCACCTTGGATGGGCTTCTTCCATATTCAGTCCACCTTCCTCGGAGTAGAGAGATCACATGGAAATAGCACACCTCCTACCCCCAGTCTCACCTTACATTTGGAACCATCCCTCATCTTTTTCAGTGTTGAGGACTTCACCCAGGCTACACACTTGGGGCTGGGGGTGGGAGAAAGGTTAGACATTTCAAGTCGTTTGTATTCCAACCTGAACTTGGCCCTTCAGACATGAAGGGTCAGATCTGATGTTCCCGCTGGCTGCTGCAGGGCAGGAGTTGATGACCAGCTCATTGAGAGCCAGGGAAAGTGAGTTCTGAGTGTGGGAGAGGGGAAGAGACCCCCAGCTGACCAGCCTTGGCTCGGAATTTCCACTTCTCTCTCTTAACAGAGCCATGTCCTTGAGCAAGTCACTCAGTCAGTCTGAGCCTCCCAGTCCTCTCTTTTTAAAGTGGGATCCTAGTATCTTGCTTTCAGGGCTGTTGAGAGGAGTAAATGAGAAAATGTTTGCAGAGGGCCTGGCCGGGGGTAGACACCACATAGGTACAAGCTATCCTGTGTTCATGATCTTACTCGTTACTGCAGAGCTGGGTGAACACCAGACCACTTGAATTTCTAGTTCTACCATCTCATGGCTATTTATAACTCAGGACAGCTTGATAACTTCTTGGGCCTCAGTTTCCTCATTTGTAAAATGGGGGCTAAATACTCAATAACGGGATTAATGTTGGGGTCAAAGGCAGCTGTGGAAGTCAGTGTGTGTTTTTTTTTATTATTATTGAGCTTTCACTCATATACAGTTCAAAATCTAATGTGTAAGATTCAGTGGTTTTCAGTATATTCACACATCTCATTCCAGAACATTTTCATTTCATCAAAAGGAAACTCCATACTCATTTGCAATCACTACCCATCCTGCACCCCTTCCCAGTCCCGGGCAACCACTAATCTTTCTGTCGGTATATATTTATCTATCTAGATATTTCATATACATGAAAACATAGAATATTAGGCCTTTTGTGTCTGGGGTTTTTCATTCAGCATGATGTCTTCAAGATGCATCCATGTTATAGCATGGATCAGTACTTTATTCATAAAAGGATGAATGAATATTATGCTGAAAAAAAAGTATGGCTATGCCACATTTTATTTATCCATTTATTACCTGATAGAAATTTGGGCTGTTTCCACTTGATGGTGATTATGAACAATGTCAATATAATTTTATGAATAGCGTAGCAACATACCACTGTAAGGTTTCATTATAAATAATATTAGTAATAAAATTCCTACCTGGGTGAAAAGAAATGAAATGCAATTCATTTAGACACAAAATGAGGTTGCCTGCATGTGAATGGTTTATTTTTTACTTAGACCATGCCATGGTCATTCTTACGATATAGTATCTCTTGAGCTTTAGGACTTCATGGTTCTCTTGTGGAATTTAGTACTTTAGGGGTCTGTGCCCAAAGGAAGAAATGCTTTATGCCAGAAGACAGACTAAACAGCATTTAGGATGTTTAGAATCTTTAACAAACTGGGTTAGAAATAGAAGGTGGGGTCTGTTGAGTGTTGTTGAGTTTGCCGGTTAATATTGGGGCTACGGAGTGAAATATAACCTCGTGTTTGCCCTCAGGCTTCCATTCTGGAGGGAAGACAAGTAGGTGGTGATGACAAGATGGGGTATGTGCTATGACAGGCATAGCCTACGAGGTTGTAGAACCGTCTCTGTGAGGGAAGCTGTGCCGCAGCCATTTGACCCCTGCCGACTCTCTTTCCCAGCATGGTAAGACACAAGGACGATGGCTCTTCCCAGGAAAAGGATGTGAAGACCTGCCCCCGGGACTCTGGCTATGACAGCCTCTCCAGCAGGCTCAGCATTTTGGACCGGCTTCTCCACACCCACTCCATATGGCTGCAGCTGAATCTGAGTGAAGAGGAGGCGGCAGAAGTCCTACAGTCCCAGCCTCCAGGGGTAAGACTCACAACCTCAAGGAAACAGGTTGAGGCAGGCAGCACTGCTGCATCCTTAAAGACAAAACGACTTGGAGTTCTAGAAAGTTCTTTGCAGCCCGTAGGGAATACGGTTCCTGACGTGTACCTGGGTTGTAGTGCAGGGAAATTCCAGAGGCAGCTCCCAGAGCCCTTCACAATTTGTCTTTCTCTCTCCATCTGCTCAGTTGCCCCCAGGAAGTGCAGGACTCCGCAGGACAGCAGGGCACCTCAGTCATGAGGAGGGGCTCCTGCCCAGAGGCCCCAGGCCTGACTTCTTGAGACCAGACATTTAGGAAGAGCCTGGTTGGAGGGGCTTAGTTGTCTCTGTTGTTTTACTTTCATTCTGAGTCTGGGAACCCTTCCTGGGGCCCAACCATCTAACCTGGGACTTAACCTTCAAAAGTTCACTGTCCATAGACTTGTCTGCTCTGGCTGATGATGGTGAATTTTCTTGGGCTTTCTCAGTGGCTTTGCACATGAATCAAAGTCCAATTCAGTTTGTTCACCTACTCCCTACTCAAGTCCATCTCATCTTAATCAAGACCAGGCCACAACTCTATAGAACTTCCTTTAAAAAAAAGTTATTCAGTGAATGGTATGTCTTTTGCTGTCCAGTATGGTAGCCACTTGCCCCATGTGGCTATTTAAATTTGTATTTATTAAATGAAATTCAATTAAAAATTCAGTTCCTCGGTTCCCCTAGCCACACTTGAAGTGCTCACCAGCCACAGGAGGCTACCATACAGGACGGTGCAGAATATAGAACATTTCCATCATCACAGAAAGTTCTACTGGACAGTGCTGTATGCAATGCCTACTTCCAAAGGACAGGATGACCACAACAAATCCCAGATAAAGTAAGACTTGAAGCAACACCTGGCAAGAGGTAGACATTCAGAAGTAGGGGGAAAGGCAAGGATAAAATCCATCAGTAACTAGCTGAGGAATGTAACAATTGGGCAGGAAAATAAACTTTTGAGTTTCCTTTCAGCCAGAGCCTGCCTGTTACCACTTTTTGATTTATAAGTGAGTCTTTGTTTCTCATCTGACAGAAGGCAGACAGGGCTAAGAACTCTGTTGGAACATGCTCAGGATGTCAGGCGCGGCATTTGATCATCTTTGCAGAGAATTCCTTGGCCAGCACCCTGGGTTGTTGCCTCTGGTTTTGGTCTGTATGATCAAGACCCCCTCCTGTGAGGCCCCCACTTGTTGAAGGTTGTGTTGTCTACTCCTGCGTTTCTGCCAAAATTTTTAAAGAAGGCGGTGGCCCTGTTGCTAAGTAGCAATTCCCCTTCTGGTGTCAGGCACATCCATGCCTGCTGGGACCTTGTGGGGAGCAAGTCAGGCAGGATGTTGTCTCTAGCCACCTACTTGGTCCCAGGCCAGGGCCCGCCTGATGAGATGGGCAGGCTGAAGGCAAGCTGAAGGCAGGAGCAACATGGATCAGGAGAGGCCAGACGTGCTGGAAGAAGCTAGAATGCTGAAAAGCAGGTGTGAGAGGGAGATTGAAAAGCTAGCCATGGTGGCATGGGTTCTTGGGATGCCCATCATCCTTGATTAATGTTCAGTTGAAGATGGGCAACTGTAGACTGTTTCTGTAAAGGGCCAGAGTGTAAGTATTTTTGGCTCTGTGGGCCATACAGTCTCTGTCACAACCACTCAAGTCCGCCTCGTAGTGCAGACGCAGCCATAGACAATATTTAAATGACTGAGCATGTCTGATTCAGTAAAACTTTGTTCCTAAGAACAGGTGGCAAGATCGATTTGGTCTGCTGGCCATACTTCACTGACCCCTGATCTCAGGGTACAGAGACTCAGGAAATCAGCCTAGAGTTTGTGCTCTCCCTACCTCCAAGGCTCAAAGAGATCCCCACCTGCATAAGGGAATATGACTTCTTTTCCACTCACCAACAGCTTCCTCTCACAGTGCTTTGGGCTTTTACCCATTGGGATAGTATTTAGGAAACATCTTCAATTTTAGAGTGTCCTAAAGACCTGGACTCCCAGAACTGGCTTCTAGATAAATTCCATGGCTGCCTCCTCGTGGGTGCTAGAAGGGAAGAGAGAACCATTTCACTCCTTACCAAACACCCCATTCCCATAACTTCCCCTGCAACCGCACCCCCCAGAAATGTTTCTTAGGAGCTATTGACTGGACATACAGACCGCAGTGAAGATCAGGTGGAAAACATAAAGAATAGTAGGGGAATGGAGCCCATCCTCTCGATTGTGAATGATGCAGAGCACAGCCTGAAAAGGAGCTGATGGCATACTTGCCTCTGCAGTGACTGAGGCTGGAAAGGTTTCCTGAGACATCAGTACAGCTTAACCCCTAGAGTGCGGGGGAGCACAGTCGCGCTCCTCCTGTCTTTCACCAAAAGTGCTAGGAGCGCTATCGGCAATTTTTTCCTACTAGTATTTTATAATACAATCAGCAAACAATATATGTCAAAGATGAAAACAAACAC